ATTTAGACACACACACTCACTCCCACATGCAGAGGTTCTGATTTTAAAGTGAACCGTGTCAGCAAAACTAACCATCAGCCAGATGTTACCATTAGAAATTGACCCTTCTGGTTCCTTGGAGGATTCCCAGGGGAGCAGGAATTCAATAAGACGCCATGAAAGTATCAGGATAGAATATCTGTTCCTGTCTCCACATATTGAACTCCCAGTATGTGTGTCAGGTTTCAAATGTAAACAGACGTTTAGATATCTCACTCTTGTGGGATAAAAAGGGTAAAACTAACTAACTGTTTTTATTTATTTTTGTAGGGATAGGATACACAGCAGTGGGTAACAGCAGTAACAGCAGTCAGCAGTGGGAACAGCACAGAACATTACTGCATAGAAATCAAAGTGTACAACAACAGCTGTCATTCACACCCGTAGTCTCCCATTCATCGTTTAACTCCCTTTGTGAAACAACTCTGCAAATCACCATGAGTTATGGTTGGTACACTGTTTTAACTGGCGGCTGCTGAATAAACTGGTGGTCAAGTAGATGGTTTTAATCTCACTTTGGTTGGGTTTTATTGTACTGTGTATGAACATCTATTACAAGAAGAGCATTAATTAAAACTGTCAAAAGATATAGGGTTCTACATAACAAGCCCAAACTGTCAAGAAATGTCAAAAATACTGTTTTACATGTCTGAAGTCCTTTGAAATACTTCATGAAGAAGAATGAAATAAATTGTTAAAAGTAAAAAAAATATATATATATTGGATTAGAGATTATATTAGATTTCGTCTACTCTATTGTTGGGACGGAAATTTGCCTTTGCCTAGCAAAACTGGCATCAGTTGAGGCTCACTTAAAAAGAGGGTATAAGAAAGGGGAAAGTGGTTGGATTTCTCCTTCAAGAGATTCTGTGCTCAAAAGTGATGAAAGTATTTATCAAGTATGAATCCAGAGCTCGAGAGCAGAACTCTCTGTAGTATGACTGTTGGATTGTTGGTGCCTATAAATTATAACAATTATTGAACACAACCACCCAAATTCAAATACTGAAAAGCTGTAGGCCTATGGGCGTTGGTGTTGGGGGTTGGTGTTGCACTGTGTTGTGTACAGACAAGCACTTAATTTGCAGTCAATTGACTCCTTTTGTGTTTTGTACTCGTCGTTTTTGGTGCCAATATGGATTAATGAGCAGTATATTGAATGTACTGTAGTGCTGATTGTGATCTGCAGCCAGTCTCATGGCTGTATCATGACTGTGGTAATTCTGAAGTGTGGAGGACTATTAAAGGAAGCAGCTTCCTATTTGAGATCAGTTGCTAGGGAGTGGTGAGCAATAGAGAGGCAATTCAATTCATCAGAGATGTGGAGCTGCACTGATGGTGTAACCTCAGGCTCATTGTCCAGGAAAGACTTAAGGAAGTGTTCAAGTCTGATCTGGTTCTCCATTACAAGTCCCTCTGGGTTTATTTGGCTCCTTCAGCACATTTTTTTCAAAATGCATATTTTGTTAATTAACTAATCATTATATACTTTCTGTTTTTCCATTGATCTATTATGTTTGTTGTTGTTTTTTTTTTTTTTTTGCTTTTTAAGTGCAATAAAAAAAATAAAAAATATGTATATACCGTATATTTCAGTCATGCTGGTTTGCTTTGACTGGGACAAGTGGACTACAATCTGCAGGCCTGCTGTAGGATCTGCTGGAGCGGTTGGTACAAGATAGAGTTCATTTGTGAAAAATGATAGCTTTACTGTGGTGGAGTTTACTTGGCTGCAGTGCACGTCTGGAGTGAACAGGGTTGGAGGAACAACATTTTACATGTGACTCAGTGACATGTTAATGGGGAACATGATTTACAGCAGAGTTTGGTAATTACCGTAATGGAGTACTGCAGTGCTACAAGTCCGTTATAGGGGTATTCATTTGGAATACGTATGTATATAAATAAAGAGAAACATGGAGGAGCAGTCCATGCATGAGTAAAACAATACAATTTTCATTCTAATATCCTAAAAAGTTGTTAAAAGGGTGCACAGATATTTGCCCGTTTTATTTCTTATTTCCCTCCCCAGAAAAAAAAGATCACTGTTAAATTATCCAATAAAAATGCACTTAGGAAAGCCACCTGCTGCATGGAACAAGACACTGTTACTATGAACTCTCACATTAATTTAGAAACAGAAAGATGTACTCATATCATTAATATGGACTTCCTATCACTCTACAGCATTTTTTCTGCTGTCGACTAGGCCATATCTTCTTCCATTAAACATTTTGCTGCAGTGACGTCAGCCTTTTTCCCTGCACTGCAGTGGGTCATATGATGTACATGTTACTGTCTGCAGCTCCGCACACTCAATGCATTAAAGTATCCTGCGACATCTTGATAGATCATTTTAATTGAGCAGAGAGAAGAACACGATGGCCGCTATTTATTTATTTTTTGCACTAAGCTGTACTGGTCGTATAACTTAGCTTTTGAAATGCATTTTTTACTCAATGCAGAGAGCATGTCGAGTGTCACTGATATGACTGTCTATGGTTTTTACAGCTGCGGTCTGCTGCAGTCTAAACAAGTCATCTTGTAATTTTTTAATTATATTCAATAGTTTACATTTTGCATAGATAGCACAACTTTTAAAGCGCTAAATGTTGATCTTTTATCTGCATATTCTCTCCCTGCAACTACTATAAGTTGTTGCTCAGTGCTAATGTCTATCATATAGTTCTACTATTTTCCATGTGTTCCTCTGACAGCCATGATCATGCAGCTTCTGGCCGATGAGGTGTCCTAAAATACAAAAGTTAAGGAAACAATATGGTATGCTGCTGGGGGTTTCTCATTTAAAAAAAAGACAAACTATAAGTTGTATCATGGAAGTTGTTGTCCTCACTGCTCAACAAACACCATAATCTTTCAAATTTGTCTGACTTGTCTCATTTTCACAGACGAGGTGATGCATTCAAGTTAACTCACAATCATTTCCATTTCCGTGTTTTTTGTAATTTCATTGTAATGCAGCAGTTACAAATTACTTAAGCTAAGTATAACAGTTGGCTGACTGTCTTCGTCACTCTTGATAATTCATCTGGTGTTTCCACACCAGACAGGTGACCAATCACAGAGTTTTCTGTTTGAATGTTGTTGTAAATATTGTAAGTAAACAGCTCAACGAAAGCATGGGCCATTCTGCAGAATTGGTTCAAAGTCAGGTTGGAAATATAAAGTTCTATTCCAAAAAAATGTTCCTTATATATATTGTACCATATCTGAAGTACACATATCTAGTCAAATTTGATATTGTATTTTTAGACTGTTTTGAAATGTATTTCCTCTCCCCAAATTTGTCACTCCCGAAACATAGTATTAAACTATGATAAAAACAATATTATGTTAACCTGTTAGTACTATGTTTACTTCCTTATGTAAAGATTATTTTTACACATTTTTATTGAATCACAATAAAATCAATAAAAATGTTTGTTTTTTTTAACAAATTTAAAATTTATATTTTTAAAATTCTTCAAAATCTATGTGCAATCTTTCTTTCTAAAATGCAAAACGCTGATCAGATTGATTTCAGAGTTAATGATTTATGAGATGGAACATACAGATAACCAATCAGTATTATAACATTTAGTTGATAACTCAATATATATATATATATATTTTTTTTAAACAACCAGTGTTTCGGTAGTGACCAGTATTTTCTTTGTAGTGTTTGTAGTGCTTAATTTTAACTCATAACATGTCTGATGTTGGGAATATTACAAGCACGTATGTTTAGTAGTCAATAATATAATTTATTTTTGAAGAAAAATGTTCATCCATGACCATATAGTACAAACATTACTTATCAATTGCTTATTTACTGTAAATAGATGATTGAAATGATGATGCTTATAGAAACTCACTGATTCTTTGGAACACATTTATTTCAAAATGATGAGATTTAACTACTTTACCATTCCATTTTGTCACTGCCGAAATTATATTGTCACTACCAAACTTGACCATATGTTTCGGTAGTGACAATTCTACCTAATTTTGAGCATAATTAAAGAATGCTAGCAAGCACACGGCTAGCAAACACATCTTTGAAGAGGTGTACACCCATAGAAACATAACAATTTGCATAAAACCACGAAAAGTTTACATAATTGAAGAGAATGTGTGTTTGGTAGTGACAATTTTTAAAGTTACACACTGATTTTCAGACTTTGGAACACATTTATTAAAAAAATTATGGGATTTAGCTGCTTATCAGTCAGCCATGGGGGACAGGGATGCAATATCACTTCCTGGTCAAAAATTCAGGGGTGTGGCTTAAATCTAGGCGCAGCCAAGCCACTAAAACTCTTGTGTTTCGGTAGTGACATGAAAACAAGGGACATGATTTTTTGAGCATAGTTTTTTAATTTAAAAATTAAACCCACAATATATCTAAGTCTTTCAACCTTTGTTAAACTTAATTATAAAGATCTTTTAAATTACACCATTGAAACAAATCTAAAAAATGTTTTAAGTGGTATTTACATAAATTGAAATTCACTATCTCATTTAATGCCCTGGGTTTAAATAGATCATAATATAATCTCAGTAAATATCCATGTCTGACTACTTAATTGTTTGGTTAAACCTTTTTTTGTAATGGGACTGCACTTTGAACTAATTCGGTAGAATGCCCCAACTAGGTTGATTCCCTTTGAGATATCTTGATGCAAATGTTAGAACAATTGTTTTTTTATAGTCGTGGGTTTTTAACAAAGCTTTATTAAGTTAGTTCATACCTGCAGTATTTGTCAGTCATTTTTCAGCTAACCCAACAAACTTTCAGGTCATACAACTGATCAAGTGAATGAGATTTAGCACAAAAATGTTTTATTTACATATACAGCGGATTGAAAGCAACATTAACAGACAATATAATATGTATATATGTATGTCTGATGACCTGATTCATATTTCCATTAAGTCCAATATTACATGTCGTGTAAGCTTAGGTTTTGTCCCCACTAGGCCGTGTTGGACCTTTCTAATTCCTAAGAAGGTAGTGCATGGTTGGTTTATTAAAGCTTTTTGTTTTGTTTGGAAACAGCTGCCTGTCATCTGAAAAGGCTTGTGATATTAATGAGAGTGAAAAACAGAGTAAAACCCTCTGTAGAGCTGAGGGGAATCATAGAATTGTGTTATAATTCCTCTCCCTGTGAGAGACCCTTTGTTGTTACGCAGCTATTTTATCAATTGTTTTATTTCAAACTAATAATTAGTGCATCAAAGACTCAGATTATGTTCAAATCAAAAATGTTGCAAAGCTGAATGGATAAATTCTGCCACAGTGTTTCATTGGCCTTGATCATTTGAAAACTTACCAAATTATGCGATTGTTGATTAGTTTGAAAATTGTTCCCACTTTAATTTGTTTGTTTCAGTCTATGACATAAGATACTGTTAGCAAATGAATGGGAAACAAAAGTAGAAAAATAACAAACATGTTTTCTATAGAGTTTGTTTTTATTAATTTCAGAGTAGTAAACATAACGCTCTGTGATGTGAGTGATTACAATTCATTGTAAAGATAGTGTGTCATCGTTCATTTTCCATAGGGTAAATATAAGTAAGCCACAAGTAAGAGACTAACGAATGGCTTCTATAAACTATCAGTGCCAATTAATAAAAAATACTGTTGGTCAAAATAAATATTATGTTCCTCTTCAAGCATTTCAACATTTGTATCACACTGTGCTCTCTTCTAGAACAACATATTTAGTTGTTTAAGGAGCTGGTGAACGTAGCTTGGTTCACTTAAATGGTTCTGGGATAAACATGAACCGAGAGTAAAAATAACATGACAGTGAGAATATGAAGTGTTAAAGGAGATATTTAAGCAGATGTTGTAAATGTTGAATGCACAAGTCGATAATGATATCTAAACAACCCTCCCATGAAGCAGTGGGCGGCTCTCTCCCGCTGACTGTCTGCTCAACAAGTTCCACAACAACATAGGCACCGATGTTACCCCTGGGCTGCCTTCATTATTGTCTTCTCTGAGTGGCTGGTACTGCTTGAACCGCCTGTGAAGAAACATGGAACATGTGAGTAAGGTCAGGAAAAAGTCAGTAATCATTGAGTTAAACCAAATATATTGGTTAATCCAAGTGAAATGTGCTTAAGCTGCAATCACCATTTTATAAAGTAAAGAAGAATTTAAAACTGTTAACAAGCAGCTGGCTCGCTTTCAGATTAACTGGGACAGATTTTCTATTTGGATACGTTTAGAAATGACTGGTTTAGTTTGAATCAGCAGATACATTATGTTTTGTTATATTCCATTATGCTCTATAAGCTACACTGAGTTGCATGGTGTTATATTACTTTACTTAATGTTGCCTTGAATGCCTTTCAGCAAGTCAGGTAAAATTATCGTTGACTTTCAGTGGTTGACCTTTTTGCATGCCGACATTAAGTAAAGTAGTATAGTCTGGACATTGGGAAATATTAAAACTATTAGAAGGTTTTCAAGTGACCTATCTATTTAATATATGCACCTACAAACGAGTCATAGGGTAATACTTTTTGTTCAGTGAATATAAATAATTGCTGACATGGTTACAGCTGTACTTACAATCTAAACATGTTCATTCTAACCTGCTGAACAGCAGCCAGCATGTTTTCAGTTTAACAGTAAGCATGTTAGCATGCTGGCATGTTAGCATGCTGGCATTAGAATTGTTGTATAGAGTCTCATCAGGAAGCGGTCTATTTTGGTACCCAACAGGGATCAAACCCCTGAACCTTACACTTTCTAATACTATATGCTTAATTCATACGCCTTTGTTGATTGTGTTTTCTGCTCACTTTAAGAAATATTTTGACATTGTGATACAGGATTACTGAGACACTAAAATTAAACAAGCTAAGACAATTTTATATATTTACAGTACCTTTGCTTTAAAAAATGTTTTATCAAAGAAGTAAACAGTTAAAAATGTCAAACTCACCTGTACATCAAACCTAAACAACAGACCACACAGGCTAGAACCATCACACCAAGGACTGTGACGGCAGTTCCAGCTGGGGAACCAGTGGAGGCTGAAAGAGATGCACACTGTAAATAAGAGCCAAATCAATAGACTCTGAACTTTAGTGCCAATCAGGAATTTTTTGTCCACCCACCTAGTGACACGCTGACTCTGGCACTTGCTTCAGCAAAACTGACATCATTAGTCAAAGAGACATTGATGCAAAACACTCCAGTGTCATTGAAGAAAGAACGAATGATCATTTGACAGTCTGGAGAGGGTCTGGCTTCAGTACAGACGGTTTCCATCGGCGTTACACAGTCAGCATCAGAAATGACTGTGCACACCTCACTTGGCAAGCTATAGGAAATATAATAAAGATGCAGAGAACAAATGATGCCTATTTCTGGACAACAGACATGGCAAATTCATGTTTTTCAGCAGGAGAAATCAATAATATCTTGGAGTTTTCTGATGCTGTCTTTGTGTCGGTAGAATGATTATTGAAGAAGCTTCTAAAACCAGAATTTCATACTTTAAAGGTCACATCTTATGCAAAATACACTTTACCATGGTTTTATAACCCTAATATGTGACACTAGCTGGTCTGCAAACCCCCAACTCTGGAAACAGAGGGGTTTATAGGCATGATAAATTACATGATCAGAATGGATTTTTAACAGGAAACTTCACAGACATGTTTTGGGGAGCTGTCAGACCTATTTAAAAAAGGATAATATGTGACCTTCAAGACATTCGTCAAAGGAAGTCATGTTGTTACATGCAACCTTACAGAATCTTTCTTGATTTGAGTAATATTTGTAATATGTCTGATTGATTCTAGACAGGTTCTAGATTCTAATTTAACAACCAACTCAACAACTCTAGTACCTTGTGTGATTGAATAATGTCATTACTCACCTTCCCTGACAGATAACAGTGACGTCCACAGCATTCTGATCCAACTCAGTCGCCAGTGACAAAACACCCGACATCTGTACAATCTCTACACTTTCAATAGCCTCTGCAGGATGAAAAGAGGTGAAAAGAAAATGTTATGAATTTCACAGATATCATATTATTTATTATTATCAAGAATATTATTATACAAGCATGTTTTTAAATGCCATTATTACAAAAATTTTACAGACTTACGGATAACATCTAAAGAGGTGGCAATGGAGCCATAACGGTAGACATTACAGTCATTTATCAGCTCTGATACGTCTCTCTTAGCCACAATCAGGGCGACCTGTGATGGATCTACAGCAACAGCTGTTAGTGGAAAAACAAAAGGCATATTTCATCACACCTATGTTGCAAAAGCTTTATCTTTGTTTTTCAAGAATACTTATTTGGAGGCACTATTCACCTGTAGGAGCTGCGGTAGCTGCAACGGTATTCTCTGTGGCTGGTATTTCAGCCTCGGCATCAGTTGGTGCTGGGTCTTCAACAGCCGTGTCCTCAGTGGTAACAGTGACTACAATGTCATCAACAGGGACTTCTGTTTCGTCCTGGACAACCTCTGCAGCAACATCATCAGCAGCATTAATGACCTCAACCTCCGCCTCAGGAGCAGCAGTAGCAGGAGAAGCAGCAACATCTGTAACTACTGCTGCAGCGGGCGCAACCGTGACAACAGCAGCAATCTCAACTGCAACTTCTTCTCCCTCTGCAACAGGGGCAACAGTAGCAGTATCAGCAATTACAGGCACAATTTCTTCAGCTGCATCTGCAACCACAACAGTTTCAACTGGAGCAGCTGTTGCAGCATCTGTCAGCTCTACAGTTTCAGCTGCAGCATCGACAACCTCACCAACTGCTGTTGCAACTGTGACCGCGGCTGCAATATCTGCTCCTGCAGCAGGGACAACAGTGTTGGCAGGATCTGGTACAATAGCTGCATTGACTTCAGGAGCTACTGAAGCAACAATAACTACTGCTGTTCCTGCATCTACTGTGTTTTGTTCTTCTGCTGCAGGAGGCTGCAAGGAGGCAGCAAGTGCAGGAACATCAGATGCAGGGAGATCTTGAGCTATTGTGTCTCCTTCTTCAGCCGGGGCAGTTGGGATAGCTGCAGCAGTGGGGGTAACCACAACCTCTGCTGAAGCAGCAGAGGCATCAATGGGAGCAACTGAAAGACAATTTCAAACAGAGCAAACTGTAGTTAAAAATTTTTTTATTTGTATTTGTGTAAATCCTAAAAAAAAGAAATGACATTTCATATCTCACCAACAGTGGGACTTCCACACGTCTGGGGGATGGTTGCCATTAGGACCACCTGTGGTCTAAACGTCCCAATGTCAAGATATGTGTGTGTGACGGAGAGCTCTCTGGAGATCAGAGTACCGCTGCTGTCACCAAAGTCCCAGCTGAAGCTGATGTCGGCATTGTCAAGATACTGGCTGGGATCGTGGAGCTTGACACCGAAAGCGATGGCTCGCTTCTGGATGAAGCTCTGGTCCGCCTGGTTAACATCATTGACTTGGGAGAGGGACATTATGAAGGGAACCTGGTCTGATTTGGGGGAGAAATACGTAGAGATGTTATGATACAGATCAGCTTTAGGTACAAATAATAAAAGAAGAGTTTTCCTCAAATAGGTACGATAGGATACCTGTGACTGTGAAGACAGTGGAGGCATAGCCGAGAGGGATGAACTTGTCTTTGTTGCGGCAGTGATAGATGACAACCTCCATGTTGTAGGAGCCCAGGGGAGTATCACGTGTGTTGAGACTGAGGGAGGACGATGGTCCATCTGCAACCTGCCAGTAACGCCCTGGAATAGAGCAACATTTTAAATATTAAGAGTGGTCATCCTTGTAAATCACCCTCATTATACTTGAGATGCTGTTATTAGCAGATTGTAGGATATAGAAGACCAGAAAGAATTCACTCATATTTTTGTTTTGAGTTTTAGAGGATAGGAGGGCTTTTAACCTTCAAAATATAAGGGACCAAACATAAAAATCACTTGGGGTTTGTGGGCCACACAGAATAGGCCTATAGAGGATTACAATTAACTTTTACCCCATAATGTAATCAGTATTCATGAAACGATGTGCATTCCTTTTCTATAATATATAATTAATTCCATTCTATATAATTATTTTAAAAAACAATAGATAACTTGATTTATCACTTGTGTTGTTGTAGTAAATTAATAATTTTCACAATCAGCTTCACGTCCATTCATCAGAGACATTTAAAGCCAAAAGTGAGCTAATGTGAGTTTCTATGGAAACTGATAGCTCAGAGTTCAGATTCAGACTTCACTGAGCAAATGGCAGGTGACTGATGTATTTAATCCTGTTGTTGTTAATCAGGGCATTTTGACCATACATACTCAGCTATTGGTTTAGAACATTAAGTCTATGCTTTACATATCTCACAGTTGCTTGTTCTGATGTGCAGCAGCATGTGTTGGCAGCCTTTAACAGGCCATAGTTAATCAAAAAGGGCCAATGGTCAAATCGGCTTGTTGGGTAGCTTCAGAATTGTTTACCTAATTGTGATGTAAAATAATATAACTGTAAACTAGGTTGATCATGCCAATAAAAACCATGACAAAATATTATTCAATCTTATTCTGTTACATTCAGTCTTCAGATGTGGAATGATAGTTTCAGACATAAAGGGTGATCACAGTCATGCTGTTCAGTGAAAAGACCTTAGGACAGTCACCACTGATTTTTAAGGATATTTGTGTCCTGATTATTGAAGGTTTTCAGTCACAATGGGTACCATAGCTGACCCATATTGTTACTGCTGCAGCATATTTTACAGTAGAGGAGCAGCCTAGTTCTGAAACAGACTGATTATTATTTAAACAAACATATTTACCCCATGCTTTCCACACATAAACATAACGGTTCTTCTTGTCCTTGCCCTTCTTGAACGATGCACCATTTGGGAAAACTCCAGTCCAGTCATTGTCATGGTTGGGATACACAGGCTGACCTTTGTGATATTGGTTCCCTGAATAACACAAAAACCAAATCAGAATCAATAACAGACACATAAACTATATCTAAACATATAAATATGAGACCAAAGATCTTGTTAATAACAAAAGAATATGGCTTTTTAAATTATCATCTATAAATTAAAAACCCTTTTCATTATTCATATGTTCATTGTTAAATAATGTTAAAATGGGGCTTTGAGCATTCATGAAAAAGAAACAACAAAAACTAAAAAAGATCCCAACAGGTTGCATATCAAATTTTACCTCCCCCCCTGCAGTGTTACACCTATTACCAAAGAGGTTATCTCACCATCGATGGTGCAGTTGCGTGCCCAGACCACCTGACCATTAGGGAGCATGGTCTGGTTCTTTGGGAAGTTTAGATTAACAGTAAAGGTTGCTTTGGCTCCAGTGAGGGTGGGTGAATCATTTGACACATCAAAAGTTACTTCACCACCTGGAAAGAAGAAGAAGCAAAAAATACGTTTTCAGTTTGAGTTACAGATTGTTGTTTTTTTTTTCATCATTTCTGTTTTTATTAACAGATGAATGAGCCTTACCAGTCCAGGAGTTCCTAAACCTCTGGTCTCCATCTTTCCACATTGGATACATCCGTGTGTTCCATGGGCGGTAACGTGTGAACTGATATTTAGGCTCTGGAAGAAATTAGAAAACTATTAGTAATGGAAGACATTTGTGTTGTGTCAAACACCAAAACCAATCAAATGATATATTGTAGCAAACTTTGAAAAACATGACAAATCATTTAAAAAAAAGCTTTTTAACCTCAAAAATGTTCTTTATTGCTTTATTCAGTGTATTCAGTTTGCATTTATATCGTTCCCCCTGCCAAATTGTGTGGTTATATCATGTACTTCATATTGAGTAAAGAGTATAAAGAGTTGAAGTTATAGACTTACAGCATCTTACACAAAAGCAAGGCAGGATTTGAAAGTAATGATAGAGACGCTTATGTAAATGAGGCCAGATCGGTGTTCTTGGTGTCGTTGAGGGGTAAGGCGCGTCGGGGTTCTTAGCAGTGGGAGTCACATGGTCTGCACCCCCCCCAATCCCTTTCATGTGACTATCAGCTGAGCTGCAGCATCAGTAATCCCAGTGAGAGGAATGTAGGATCCCAAGCACTGACTCACAGGTTATGTTTTCTCAATTAGTGATGCGTATGTGTGTGAACGTGTGTGTGGGTTTGTGTGTGTGTGTGTGTGTGTGTGTGTGTGTGTGTGGGGGTTGTGTGTGTGTGTGTGTGTGTGTGTGTGTGTATATGATGTATGATTAAACTTAATCACCACTCAAAAACATGAACAATGATTTTCTAAATATCCAAGTATGGAAATAAATGGTTATAATTTACAGCCTTCTGGATTATCACCCTCACATCACAAATTAAAGAGCGTCAGTAATGGTTGTAAGAGTTAGTTACTGTGTTAAAATGTTATTTAAATGATTGTTTATCTTATTATCTTGAACAGAATGCAGACTATGCTGGCATGAAATTAGCTTTCATCACAGATCATTACATAGAAATTTCAATTGGATACGCCAGTTTAAGGAATCAGTGTTTAATTGGAGGGAAAGCAGAAATGTGTTGATATGAATTAGGCACAGACATTAAAATGAAACAGTTGCCTGTTATCTGAACTGTGTTATAAAGGTGGTTACATCACACATGGAAAAATCCACTTAATGACATGGTTTAGACTCATTTTTGAGCTTCTAATCTTTGTGTTGCCCAGCTTAATGGAAGAATTGAGCAAAATAATTCCACTTTATTTCTCTCCATGTTTTCTTGCTTTGGATTTTTTTTTGTAAGACTGAAAATGAGAGAAAACACACTTCAGTGTAGTTGCACAGAGACATACATATTCGTTTTCTGAAGTTGTAACACTTTTTAAATAAAAAAGACCTTGAGTTATAACTTACACATTTCTTTTATACTTATTGCATACAGAGCTTACAGATAGTAAAAATCACTCACTTGACCCAGATGCAGATACAAATGCAAAAGCCGAAACCAACAGCGCCAGTACCAGCATCCTCATCCTGTAGGTGTGTGTGTGTGCGTCCTCTTTCTGAGCCCAGATCCTCACCCTGCTGTCCTGAACCCAAAAACAACTTCCCGAGAGAATTAACTTAAGTCTCCTCACTCACTATAAGAGGGGCTCAAACATAAATTACCATAAAGTTTCTCTCTGGTCTCTGACATCACTGGGACTCTACAAACTGGCGCCACCCCTTCTTATGAACTTAAGCACGGACAGGTTTGATAAGTGATGGTTTGTTAACTTTTGAACAGATTGTTGTGTTTGTTTGCAGCCTGATCCTGTACATACCATATTTATTATATTATTAAATTTTATTTCCATACCTGAGCTAAAAGTGTTTCTACTTCTTTTTTATTTTTTTGTATTTTACTGTGAATAACATTTAAGCGTGTAAATTTCAGGTCTGAAATAAAATAGCTCCAAAAAAGCACTCAGGAGCTTGTGCACAACTTTCAAGGCGCTGAAGATCTAGTAGTTAAGAACTTTTTAATAATTAAAATGAACACACTTGAGGGAACAGATATCCCTCAAGCAGGACAATATTTTCTAAGTGCATTGTTGGAAAATCAATGACTGCTTGGCACGGTGTAAATTAAAATGTTGTACTCTATGTTCGCTTAAGGACAGAGAGAACGGTGAAAAATGTGAGCAAAGCTCGAGTCATGCCTGCCTTTGACGTATGACCTTAGAGCTATGAGTGCATGGGCGTCACAAGATGAGTGTGTGGCCAGCAGATCAATAGCATCCCTTTATTTCCTCAGCCTGTTCCTCAGCTTCCTGCTGTCCACCTCAGGCTGGTGCAGTGCAAACGATCTGCAGACACACCCGTGCTCCATTTATGAGACATATATCCTCCTTTATGATCATAAAGAGGAATGCATTTACAGGGAAGAGCTGATCGAATCTGGAATTAGTAATAGGCTACAAAAAATCTACTTTCTCAAAGTCACAAGCTATTGAATATAAAACATTTTAAACAATCCACACAACTGACTTTTCTTTCTTCTTTTTTGTATTCTTTGCAAGAGTCACATCTTGTCAAATGGAGCATCTCACGTTTAGCATCTGCATGTAAGACAAAAGTCATCAATAAATCCTGTAAAAAGATATCAGTGACATCACGCTGAATTATTTATGTTATCCTAATTCCCTTGGTTTTTCTATGTGATGTTAGTTGTATAAAAACAAAAGAGGTGATATATCTCTCCAGTTCTCTGTAGTGCTGAAGGATGCTGTTGATGTGCACTTTTTGTTTAAAAAATTTGCGTTTTTCACAAGAGCACCAAAAGTAGCATAAAACGAAAACAGTTACTAAACAGAGGGCTGAGCATTGATGATCTACAGATGTCTCATTCTAATTCACAAATTTATATCCAATTTTCTTTAACTGTGAATAACTAGGAATAACTTGTATGAATCACAAGATAGAAATTATTGATATAAAGGAATGTTAGGTGAAATCAAAGTTGTCAAACTCACAATTCAAATAGATATTTCTGGGTAAATGATTTTTCTTTGCCTTCACTCTGAATGCTGACAACATGGAAACACAAAGTGTTAGAAGTGAAAATGTAAATCAAATATATAAGTTACAAATGTCAGCTCAATGTGCAATACATGATACAGAAAAAAATTAAATGATGTAAATATTACTGTTACAGTAAAGGAAAACATTTAAAGGTTTCATATTTGTTGGTAATTCTCACTCTTATTTTCCTTCTTTCTTCATAAGCATGCTTTTTTTTGTTCTTTGTGTGTAAAGTTGATTTCTAGAGATGAAGAAAACAACAGAAATAAGAGTAAGAGTTCTGTAACAACAGTGTTTGGCTGTTTTTTTAATTTTTCAACCAGTGTTGTCTCATGGCTGTGAGACTGTTTGGTCTGCACTACATGTGACCCCTCATGTGCTGCAGCAGAGTTCAGGAGGAAACAAATCCCCCCCAGAGAGCACCTGACCCAACATACCATGAATAGTCAACCATTAGCTTCTTTTCTCTTAGTCTCCATGATGCTGTATCTTAATTACACTCTTACTGAAGTTCAAGAACTTACTGAATATAATTTTAGATAGACGGGCGGCTTCTGAAAGAAAAGAAGGCCATGTCTGAATAAATTTGGAGTTACCGTTGGTTGCTGTAAAAGCAGATTCTAAACAAATGTTCGTACATTTTTGTGGTTTCATTATTAATGTAGAGTGAAAATTGTGCGCTACATTTTAGAGCTGTTTATTATAATACTGTTAAACCTCCTCTTAATGTAGTGATCATCACCACTGTAGCCCTGAACCCTCTGTAGCCGCTATAATGTAATTAATCTATGAAGGGCTGAATATTTAGGGAAATTTACACTAAAATTATAAATAATTTGAAAATTTGAATTATCTGTACATTTCAGTGTCTTGATAATTTAAATGTTTAAATGGATTTACTACACCACCTGCAAATAAAAGAGAAGAGGTTGAATGACTTCCGTTATAACAAAGTTACATTTATTTTGAGGTTTTAAAAAGACTAGCAAAGAAGAATAATTCACAAAATGAAAAAAAAAAAAAAAGTTGTGGTACATTTTGATGTTTGAAAGGGAATTTTAACTGAAAGTATGAATGAATAAGGGTTGAGAAAAAAAAGAAAAGAATATTCTGTTTTATGGAAGATTGTTGAATACTCTGACAGTATAAAAGGCATCAAAGAGATAGGCAACAGCACTTAAACATTTGATTTTCATTTCAGCTACTTCAGAGGGACATAATGACTGCAACAGACCAGTGAGGAACAACTACAGGCCTACTTATTACCACTAGAGGGAGCAACTGTGTTTCTAACATTTCATTTTTACAGTCTATGGTTTCTCCCCTCTGTCCTGTTCAATACACCCTCTCCCACACAGCTGACATTTCCCACCAAACCACACGATTTAAGGTTATACAAAGAAAATAAATCGAAAGGGCATATTGGACACCCCCCCGACACAAGAGTTTCGTGTGTTTTAGAAATTGATGTATGAAGTTGAGTGCTATTTTTTTTGTCATTTTGCATATTTTGTTGAAGTTTTCTTGTTCTCCATTTCTGTTTCGTTTAGTGTTTACACGTAAAATGTGTATTTTTTTTTTTCAATAGGCCTCCATGCTAAATCTGGTTTATCAACTTAACTGATTTAAAAACGAAAAATAACTCACATCTTACCTAAATTACTGGCTGTGTTTGCACATAGAGTACATTTTAGTGTACCATCGTTAAATGAATCCAAAACTATTTTACCGCCAGTAAAAAAATGAAAACAAAAAGTGTTATTTTTCTTTTTTTTTGCGTTTACTTCCGGCTTTGACGTTGCTTACGTACAACGTCATTTTACCGTATGACATGTTGGGTGTGTTTGTCGTGCTCTTCTTTCTCATCCCGAAATACACGGTGCACCTGCAACCACTGACGTTTAAACTATAATTTTAACTGTATTTTTTTAAGGCCTTTTACCTTACCGTCGGCACCTTTCTGGCACACATCCCATTTCCAAGAAGGAGAGTTTTAAGGAGCCGATTTGAAAGACTCTGAAATACCACCCGGCTCCAGTAGTCGGGGTGTCCTGAACGCAAAAAGAAACGCTCCCAGAGTAACGCGGGAAACGCCGCTCTGTTGGTTGAGTGTTTTCCAGGGAGAAGTAGCAAGTAGTCGCCAGGCTAATCCACACATTTTCCGACATTATCTCTATCTGGCCAAGCAAATGACCGGGGCCCGCTTTCTTGAGCTGTGTGGTTCTGACGTGAAACAGTTTTCCCACGACAGGAGCGCTGTGAGCTGTTAGTTACATGTCGGTGCTGCCGCTGCTCCTCTGTTTCTGAGGCCGCCGAGCACACACACAAAGAGAGCCTCGATCACTAGATATACAACATAGACACTGAAGTTTCTTTCATTTTGAAATGGAAACGTTTCAGAAGGTGGAAAAGATAGGAGAGGGGACATATGGAGTTGTTTACAAAGCCAAGAACAAAGTCACCGGAGAAACTGTTGCCCTCAAGAAAATCAGGCTTGACACGTAAGTTAACAATTAGTGTTGTTATCGTGTGGGGACTAAGAGAGGTCGAGTTCACATTGTTTGGAGCTCATTGATGATTTAACTTTGCTTTCAGTGTGCTTACACTGTTTTATAAAAAAAAAAAAAAAGTATGTCTCCATCAGGGTATGACATCACTGACATCTGTTGTTAGAACAACCACCCATCAAGACTGACTGACATCAGTCCTGAAGGGTTAGATGCAGAAAATAGATATTTATCACAATAAGTAGCAATCAGTTATTTTACTGTAGTCTGACGTTTCCACAACTCTAAAATAATCCCCTGAAAATTATAATCTATTTTCAATATTCGATCTTTATTCACACTTCACTGCAGCCAATTAACTCAATATAAAAAAAATGTATTTATTAAATCCGAGGGGTAACAGACTGGTTATTGGTTTTAATGTTTTACCTTTTCACTTAGTTTTCTTGTAAAAAATAAATAAATAATAATAATAATTTAATTGCAGGCAATCTTTAATCCCACTGGGTAAATAGTGTGAAAAGGAAGTTAACATGTTGAGTGAATGGCTGAGATTATATGCCAGCACTTGTATGTGTCTTCATTATAAGGGATCACAGGCAACAATCCATAAATGTTAGGGACCACCGAATACATTTCAATAAAATGCATTTTCGCCCTTTAGTTGGTTGAATGCATTGTGCCCAACAACCCATACTCTGTGTTGTTATATGGAAATCAGATAATACTTTTCTGAGATGTACCAAGAAACGTTATTTCCCCGGCTACAGCAGTTTGCATCAGTGATTCAAATCCTTCAGTAAATGTTGACCTTTATGTCAGACGCAGGAAAGTGAAATCACTGCTGTGTTTATCTTTCTGATATGTCTGATATGTATGCTCTTGTGGCAGACTGGCAGAGATATATTCTAAGACTACAAGCAGTGCCACCTTAGAGGGTCTGCTGATTGTACTGATGGACTGCAGTTATTTTGTCTCTGAAGTTACTGTTGTTTTAATAAGTTACTTTGATTACCCTGTTGTGATGCACCAGAGAAAGAAAGGAAACAAAAAACACACTCAACAACATTTTTGTCAACCTGGAACTATTTTTTAAGCAACATAACGACTTGGTTGTCAATGTATTTCAGGGAAACCGAGGGAGTCCCAAGCACTGCAATCAGGGAGATTTCCCTTCTCAAAGAACTCAGCCATCCAAACATTGTCAAGTAAGTGACTAATGCCCGAGCTAAACCCTTCTTGCTTTCTAGTTTTACGTTTTCAGCTTGTTTTAAAGTCAACCGTGCTTTTTTTTTTTTTCCAGATTGCGAGATGTCATCCACACCGAGAACAAGCTGTACCTTGTTTTTGAGTTCCTTCATCAGGATCTGAAAAAGTTCATGGACTCCTCCTCGGTTACTGGTATCCCTCTTCCACTGGTCAAGGTAAACCTCAGAACCTCAGCTAGATTTACAAAGCAGATCTGTCTTCATCCTTTCAAGAAAGTAAATTCAAGTTTCTGAGTAGACTTAACTAATGCTTGTCTGTGTGTGTAGAGTTATCTTTTCCAGCTGCTGCAGGGCCTAGCCTTCTGCCACTCTCACAGGGTCCTTCACAGAGACTTGAAGCCCCAGAATCTCCTCATCAACGCCCAGGGGGAAATCAAGCTCGCTGACTTTGGTTTGGCAAGAGCCTTTGGGGTACCTGTCCGCCCATACACACACGAGGTAATGTGTTCAGCTACCCAATTTGTCCTACTCATAAAGCATCTGATTTCTTTTGTTTGATATTCATTGGTAATATGGTTTCTGTGACTTTTTCTAGGTTGTAACACTTTGGTACAGAGCACCAGAAATTCTCCTTGGCTGTAAATATTACTCCACAGCTGTCGACATCTGGAGCCTGGGGTGCATCTTTGCTGAAATGGTGATTTGTTTTTTTCAATGATGAGCTCCAATGTAGATATTTGAAGCTGGATCAAATGCAAACATGTAACCAGATGAACTGCCCACTGTTTACAGATCACAAGACGGGCCTTATTTCCTGGCGACTCAGAGATCGATCAGTTATTCCGAATCTTCCGTACCCTGGGCACGCCCGATGAGACGGTGTGGCCAGGAGTCACATCAATGCCAGACTACAAACCGTCTTTCCCAAAGTGGGCTCTGCAGGAACTATCGAAAGTGGTGCCTCTTCTCGACGAGGATGGAAGAGAACTGCTCGGAGTGAGAACATGTTTTGTATTCACAGATTTATCACTTACCTCTGCAAACCAAGGTCCACAAAAGAGGATGTAAAAAAAAATAATAATACATGAGCACTATGACCCTGGTGGATAACAACATTAGCCTGCTTACACAACAATGCAGACCACAGGCAATCATCTCGAGCAAAGGACAATTTTGTCCACTGCTTGTGCTTAATTATAGTGCGTTCTAATTCATAACTACTTCATGCAAACGCGACAGGAGAGGGGTTGGAGGTGTGACGCTGGAGGAGAGCAGAGGCTTCTGAATAGCGTAGCAGTCGCCAAACAGCAGTTGTTTTTTTTTCATGCTCAAGGGCGACATCTACTGTATCAAAACATCACACATTCTTCCTTTAACGAACACTATCTGTAAAAAAGTTTGGGCTAAAGCAAAACAGTTACTGACAGTTTTCACTATTCTCATTTATTAATAAAAACAACCAAACAGATTATCAAAACTGACAATAACATTTTGAAGACATGTTGTTTGACTGTATGTCTCCTTTTCTGCCTTTTGAAATTGCAGGAAATGCTGAAATATGATCCAAACAAAAGGTTATCTGCCAAAAACGCCCTCGTACATCGATTCTTCCGAGACGTCACCATGCCGGTTCCTCATCTGAGACTCTGAGCCAAAGTAAGAAATCAGGCCATTTTAATGCCACCATGTTAAAGCAAGAAGGACCTCCTCCTTGTGTTCACGCTGAAATGGACAGAAAATTTGGACACTACAGGATATGTTGGATCCTGTGATGGATATGTGTTTGAACCTAAAACCAGCATTTTAGACCATGGATGTCCTGAGAGTTCTGCTGTTTTTCTCAGCTATGATGTTATCATAGTTAAGACACGTTAACTGTGATTTCAATATCATTATTTTGCATATTTATGTGCTGCGGCAATTTTGTTTCTGTGATTTTTTTTAAATTGGGGTTGTCTCCTGACTGAGTGCAGGTCAGACAGACACTTTATGTTATATGCCATTACATTTCCAAAACTTATCGGGTATGATGGCTTTAGGATGTCCACATTTAGTCAAGTAGTTAGAGTTAAATATGATTGAATATGTTTGTGGGATAGTGCAAATAAGAAATGTCATGCTTTTAAGACCATGCAGCAGCTGCAGATAAAGATTGTGAGACTACTTTCGCCACCAGGTGTCTCACAAATCCCTCGCCATCTGATCAAACACTTGGTGCTTAAAGAACACAGGAAGAAAATAGTGTTCTTTTAGGTTCCATTTTTCCAAAAGTTCCATTCTTATGGGTTTAAAGGATCGCAACGTAATTTTAAAACAGCACCTTTGTTAAGCAAACAAAAATGTTTAGAAGTGGTTCAGTTTTTCTGTCAGGATTTCTCACCAAACTGAAGATCTCAGCTGTGTACATAGAGGAGTTCTACACAAATGTTCCCTGTTGTAATTCAGATTTTACAGAATTTAATGTGCTTTTGCATCTTTCTTACTCTAGATTTTATTCAAACCTAATTAACTGTTTTTAAGGATGATGTTTATTTACAGTTTGCAAAAATAAACTTGTTTCAATAACTGTTCCTGTTCGTTTATGTGAGGATCATTTGGGTACTTTCTCCGGTTCATTTGAAGGTGCAGCGGGGTCTGTCACAGTGGGGGTGTAGGAATGGATAATAGATGTCTTTCTTCAGGTCTGGAGCAAATTGAAATAGTTTGTGAAATAGCAGAGTCACCTGCTGTCTCACATTGTTACATTCACTTACTGCTACACTCCATTCATCTTTGGCTGGACGGATACACAGGTCACATCATCAGACATCAGCTGCAACAAACCCTCATGAAAACCTAAACCAGTCATTCAACAAGTATCATACTAAATGGTTTTATTAGGCATGTCATGATATACGCCTTGTGGGCCAATAGTTGAGCTTAAAAAAAGTGGGTAAAATCAAAATGATTGTAAAGAAATCCCACAGTATTAGAAAAACAGCAACAGCATGCACTGCTGCCTGAAAAGAAAAGTAAGTCCTACATAGTGTGTTTGTAAAGACAGGCTGTTTGGCCTACAGGTGTTATTTTATTCATTTAAGTTAACGGAAAGCAGAAATAGGAATAGATGAATGGAGGAAATGAAAAACACCAAACAGTAAGTGAAAGATATTAAGATATACATTTATTTAATATTGCATTACACCAAAGGCACAATTCAAAGAGTATTGCTTTTTAAAATTTGTTGACTTGTGCTTGTAAAAAAATTACACAAAACATGTATGTGCTTAACCTGTGGAATAAGAACAAAGCATCAGGAGAGAACTATGACAGAGCTAGCCAGCAGAAAGTTTCTTACACAAGATCAGACATTGTTTTGGTTAAATATTTTCTAACAGAGCAGCAGAGAGTTGAATGAAATCTTTGTTTTAATGAATCCAAATGCATTTCAAAAGACTGATGAATTAAAAACTGGCATTAGTATGAAAAAGTTTAACCTAATATTATCTCTGAACATGGCATAGCCTTGGGCAGCTACATGAATGCCTGTTTAAAAACTGATTATTATACATTCTGCACATAATGTTTTAATCTTTGTGATGGATGTCTTGTAAAAGCAAAGGCCTCATCACACCAAATCACAGGCAAGAGTGTTGTCATGTCCTCAGCAATGTTACTAGGATTTATGATGACTAACTGACGTGAAGTGTTGGAGATGGACAGATTTTCTTGAGTTAAAATTTGAATCAAACTAATTTGTAAAGAGAAGTTCAGTACGATGTACTCTATCCTGTAATGGCATTTTAAAGAAAAAGAAAGAAGTGCTTAACACCACAAAGTATCCTAGCCTGGAAAACCTTCAGAAACGTAAACACACTGTACAGCAAGAGGCCACAGGTAAGTACAGAAATCCTCTACACTGGTAGATACAAAAATCATTATTCAAACATACATGCAGTGCAGTCTGATTAAAAATATGATTTAACACTGAACTAGACAAACTTTAAGAACTTATGTAGATGCATTTTCTACAATCTAGCACTTTTGCTCATTTTTTTAAGTGTGTTTCAGTAGAATGACATGTCAAACCCACGATCTCTTTGTGTCATGAATCTGAACACTGATGCTATTTTTTTTTGTTGCTATTTCTGTACTGTGAAAATAAGAGGCATACTCTTGAAACTTGCTTGAGTTGTAAAGTATATTCAAATGAGTCTGACCTTATAATGTCATGACATCATACCATGTATTGCAACAAATTTGAAAAAAAGACTGCAGATTTCACACGTCAAGAAAGTTCTGTCAGTGTCAAGTTGATTTTTGAAACGTGACAGAAACCACTGGCTATGAAATCAGGTTTATCTTGAAATTCTGAAATTTAACAGAATTCTCTAAAAAGCTTGACACTAAGTCAAAGTATTGAATTGTATTGAAGGAGATCAGACTTTGTTCATGATACTTAAAGAGTGTTTGGGTTCGCTTATGAACATTTTGGGTCAGATTTCTAGTTTCTTCTTCATGATAAGTTTGTACAGGATCTGATAGCCATCGTCCCAGGCGTAGAGCAGCTGCTCCTGCGGGTTGTACTTCAGACTTGAGTGGGCTCCATAACGCTTTGGAAAGTAAACCAGCGGTGCTTCTTCATTGGTCACCATGTCGTTGACATCAAACACACATTGGACACGAGAGCGACCAGGCTGCTTGGTGTTGTACACTACATACAAAGTGCCACAGATGACGAAAGCCGCCTCTGCGTTTTCTCTAGGACAGTTTGTGTCCCACATTTGTTCGATGTCCAGAGAGTTGGCGTCCATTTTTGCCAGAGAGATGTGCTTATCATTCTGTCGTGTGGAGTAAATGGCCCACAGGCCTTCCTCGTCCACAGCCAGGTCCATCACTGTCTCAGGAGTCAGGCCGTAAACAGGCATATGGTCCTGCACCGGGAACACTGCGCTGTCTGTCACAGAGCCGTTTTTAATGTTATACTTCACCACCATCATCTCCTCTTCCTGTTTTATGTAATAGGCATGATTGTTGAAGACGACGTGTCCCGTTCCCCTCCAGGCGGATGGCAGCTTCAGGTTCTGGGAAAGAGACAAGCCCTGCGAGCGGGTGAAGTCCTGCACAGATGCGAACTCATGGATAGTGTCTTCATCTGTCCCATTAAAAACGTAGATTTTCCCTGAGCCTCTGTTGGTGTCTTTGGTCCACGTGCCCTTCGGCCCCCCTGCTCGCTTCAAGATCTTCATGGCTTTAATGCTGGAGATCATGTCACTGCAGTCTGCAAATAAGACAGCAACAGGCTTTACATTTTTCTTTGGAGCTGGTCTCTGTTTTCTAAGATGAAGTTCACATTTAGTATAAACATGTATTTATCTTCTTGTCAAGAGTTAGAAAAGATCAAAAACACTTTCAATATCTCCCCGATCATTGCCAGGCACTAGACATTTAGCTCAGCGTTTGGATACTTATTGTCAGTGTGCGGTTTTCAAATAGGCAGCAGAGTCTTGGGAGGTCACTGCACCCTGCCACATAAATCCACTGTTTATTTTACCTTTTGTTTTTTGGTACAGATTAAACTAAAAACATACGACTAGTTAACTAGCTTGCTTTAGAAGTGCTTTTGTTCCATTTGGTCTTTTTACTAAGCTATGCTAACTGACTGCTGGTTCAACTTTTTAATCAGTGGTTGAGTGGTTTAAAGAAATCTCGGCAGGAAAGTGAATATCTCAATTAAACAAAGTATCTAATCAGATCAAAAGGTCATACCGGCCAAGTGCAGTTTTAGCACATCATATCTTACCTGATAGTTTTGAATACTTGGCCCTCTGTTTTTCCTTTACAAGCGTCACCTCCTGTTCAATCAGCTTGTCGTCCACGTCCACACACGGCTGAGCTCCGTTCTGGGTCTCGAGGTAGTCCATCTCACGCTCAACTCGGTCCACCCGGGTCCCCACACTGTCCAGATTCATCCTCAGTGTCTCTTTCTCTTTGTCCAGGGTCTCCAGCTGGGAGACCATCTGTTGCTTCAGCTCCCGCAGCTCCGAGGCGTACCGAGTGGTCTGCTCATGCCACAGTGAGATCCGGTCCTGGTTTGTAAAAAAAAACAAGGTGATCGAGATTAGTTACGCCTGATTTTAACAAACTGAAGTGGTCACATTTGATCCCATCCAACTGGTTTGTTGATATAAGATGTGCAAGGATATCTGTTTTATGGGAACCATCACTGCATTTCTCGAAAACTTTGACAAGCCCATAATTTCATGTTATTTAAAGGCTGAGTGAGCAGACTGGGACAGCAGGCCATAATAAGTAGGGCACTCATCCTTCAGATGACCAGGTTCAGGCCACACGTGGCAAGTAAACATCCTGCTCAAACGTCTTCTAAAAAAACATTAGGTCCCAACAGTGGGCTCTGTGGCAGACTCTGACCTCTGACCTCGCTCTGGAGTTGACAAATGAAAGTCGATGGTCTCTGCATGTGAGCAGGAGAGTCTGAAACCTCATTAGAGAGCAGCATAGAAACGGAGAGATTAAATGAATCATATTGAAGGGAGCTTTTTTAAATAGATTCTGTTTAAATTACTTTAGACCTGGCATTAAAGGGTACAACATGCTTTATATTTAATCTTTTATTTGTTCAAAATACTTGAGCTATATTTGAACAATTCGTGAGATATGTATTTCTATTCTGAAGGAGAAAAGTCATAATGCCAGAAGACATTCCTCACAAAGACGCATCTCCCCCACTTTGTTTGTAAACCTAATTAGTTTAAAAAAAATCTATTCAGTTATATAATTTTATATTATATAACTTACAAACTGTAGTTTTCTGCATAATTTTTTCACATTTCTAGACTGATCAACATTTAAATTGCATCTTTTTCTCTCACTCTCTTCACCCAGACAAGAAACTCATTATTTCAATTTCAGAGAGCTGTATTTCCCAGCATTTTCCACAGGATTTGCCCACATCTGCGTTCCATTGCCTTTGCCCGGTCCCTGTAAGTTTCCTCTCCCAGGGACTCTGGAGCTCAGGGCTCAACAGGGAGGTAAAGTTTGTCTCTTACCTCTATAGCAAGCAGCCTCCGCTCCAAATAGTCAATCAGTGCCTGGTGCTGTGCGCTGGCAAGACAGGCCAGAGTAACCAAGACAACAAGTCCTCTCATTTTGTGTCACTTCAGTCTCTCAGGCTCCTGTACAGATTTTTTTGGACTGGAGTGTGGAGGAGGCAGCAGATTCCCAGAGGTGGGCTGGAATGTTTTACTAAGCTGTCGGGGAGGAGCCAAAAACATCTGGAGTAGATGGTCTAAGAGTGACTGTGCAGGTTTTATTTTTACCTCACATTTTATTTCATTGATGAATTAAAAAGCCATGAAGCACTCAGTCTGTTGATTATATGTATCTACAGCTTCAAAGAGGTTGGTGAGTTTTTTGGGGGTTTTTTTCAAACAGGATATTAATGAGGGACCAAATATTACAGGAAGAGGAGGTGTAACGACGGTGGAAGTCAGGAGGCAGTGTGGCACTGTGCGATTTAAACCAACTTTATTTATTTGTAAGAGTACTCATGTAAATCACAATTTGAACTACTCCACATATGATTTTATTAAATGTGGTCCTGAGCTCTAATCCAAACAGGTGTCTTTATTTTTGGATGACTGAAACAACAAATGTGCCTCAACTAACAGGACATGAAACAGGACATGACAAATCTAACAGATGGATGTAGAGGTTTGGCGATATTCATTTATATTAGAGTAATAATCCCACAAAAGGGAGACTGTGGAGCTTAAAACCTATAAAGACGCTAGAATGGTGCAAAAACCTTAGTTGCTAACACATATTCCATCATGACGTAAGTATTCAAGACTGTGACTTCAATAGAAAAACAATAGATTTGATCAAATATGTCATTTAATCACATAACGAGCAAAACAAACTACATGTCTGACCACACTTGTTGCTCACAACTGATGCCCTCAGGAAGGTGCTTCAGGTTGCTGCCCATATAGTCGTCTCATCTTTAAAAGTGCAGGAAACTGAAAATGTGTGACTTACTTTGTGCCAGCACTTAAATCTCAAGTGCAGATCCTTTAAATACTGTCTGCGTTATTCTTGTCCTGTTGCTGCCTGTGAGCGTTGTGTGTTGTGTTTAGTCAGCTTGCCTTTCATAAAGTTGATTTTTGCCTTCTCAGTTTTTTCCACACTGGTGAAAACATCATGCTGTACCAAAAGTAAAGATCAATGATCTCGACATTTTGGGAATTTACTTGGGAATAAACATGTAAATGGGCCCAATACGCCATGTTATAGATTCAAAATAAAATGCTACAAAGTATGTTAATTAACAACCAATATCTCAAAGCGCATACATTTATAACATCTGTGGGTAAAAAGAACATTCTGAATTGTTCTCTTGATCATCTCAGTATATTTAATCAGTCACTGAACATCCTTTATGAAACACAGGATGACTTAAACCTGAATTATGTTGCAGTGTTAATCATCTTCTAATGGATGATGTTACACCAAAATGAGTCAGCAAATACTGAAGTTGAGAAGAAACAATCTATAAACAGTCACATTCATGTAAATCTGACATGCTGTGGACTGAGCAAAACTCTTTAATCGCAGGGAAATCTAGGTGTGCATATGTCCTGTAACGCAACAGCTGTGTCTGCAGTGTGTCTGCAGCATTACCAAAGCAGTAGTTATGTTGGCTGGTGATGAATGACAGTAAGGAAGTAGGAAATATTGTTCAACCTGTGCCTGGTCTTCATTATAAGATCACCTTGCTATAATAAAGTCAGAGCGCACCCTTTCCTTTTACTGTATTTATACAAAGCTCAAAAACTCTCATAGGCTTTAACTAATTGCATGATGTCCATCCTGGACTGTTGAGTTTTACAGGATTGTGCGTCATTTTCTTTGGGCTATTTTTAACCACACGGTATAATTTCTGGTAGATGAATGTTTATGGGGGACAGACAAGAAGTAGCCTGTAGTTTTCTGTAGCAACTGCAGTCTGTCTTTCATTTCTGTTATTCATTAAATGGCATTATGGAAATATTACCCTGTGCACCCAGAGGGGTAAATCAATTTTGCAAATCAAAACAGTATTACTTTCATGCCATAAAAACTACTATGGCATTGCTTTGTATTTTCATATTTTCAGCACCACCACAGTATGTCTGCCCACACAGGCGCGCTTTGCCCTAACCACAGACAGCAAGGTGACTTTTATCTCTATTTAATCAAACCAGGAAGTGGGATAGATGGCATCTACTGTACACTGGTCACTTGTACTCTGTACACTCATGTACAATTTAAGCTTTAAACTAAGGGTTCTTTTTATATAAAACAAGTTTAAAAGCACTAATATAACTGTTCTAAAACTCTAGTTCTATATACATTTAATAAAAAAAGAGTGAAGCCCTCAAATAGAATGAACAGTTGCCTCTGCTTGGAAACACTACAGCCCACAGAAGAAAAGGGCAGAAAAGCAGAATAATGAATTAAGAAAATCATTAAAGGAATAAGAAGATGTTGCAGGGTCAGAGGTATATAAAACATGGACACAGTCTCAGTTACGTCACTCATTGGTCACTGAAAGGTCATTTTGTTGCCCAACAATGGTGGATGTCATATTGAAAATGCCATCTCAACCAAAAGTTAGGTCAACTTAGTAACAGACAATTAGGTGAAGTCGAGGTAGGCCTTATACCTCCTGACAAAAAGGCTGCAACAAGCCTGGCCTGCATGTTACTTTCAAGGCATTTAAAGCCAACCTCAAGTGGACAGTTGAAAAACTGTACTTTTTTTGCACTTTCACTTTGGCTTCATTTTGAGATCGCCACCTGGTCACAGGATTACATTCACTATCGATAAATTCAAAGACGGCAATGCATTTCTCTCAGCCTTGGGTACATTATGTGGTCTGTTTTTATACATTTAAATATTCCTACACAGCAATTACGTTCTCCAACAGTTTACCAATAGTTTCTCCGCCCTCCATAAAATATAGCCGTATAGGTTGTCAATGTAAGGAGTTTGATTTCAGGTAAATACATGTCTTAAGAAATTCTCCCAGTAGACCAGGCTTTGTTTCCTACGTCTTTCTTTGTATTGTTCTTTCTCATGGTAATTGTAAATGATTGTAATGCCCTGTAAGTTTATGGCTTTCTCTAGTACCACAGCACATCTCCACTGGACAAGGCGTGTTTGTTTAAAGATATGTTCATTTGAATAAGAATCCTCTTTTTCATTATTTATTTGGTTAAGCCCTGAATCAGACAGGACAGACATGTAGCTATGACAACCTGGAGATCATTAAACATTATGATCAAACAAACTACCGTGTGAATGTATTCATGTGCTGTGTATGTAAATATTTCTGTAATGCGACTCTGAGTTACATAAAAAGCTGAACTTACTGGTAGATGATGCCTTAGTTCAGAGACAGATCCCACTGTGCTTTAGTTACCATTACAAACCTGTTGTGTTTTTAGCTTCCTATTATAAGGAATTTGACTGAAAGGTAACAATGGTGTTTTAAAAGGCGAATTGTTCTTTTTTTTCTAATTATTTTTCGTGAAACAGGAACTTTGATTTTGGAGTCCAGTCTAATTTATTTAACAAAAAAAGAGTAGCATACTGATTTTTGTTATTGCACTCCTGTCAGGGTATCTATTAACAGTTTCAAGACAATTTCAAATGAATGCAGCAGAATCAGAGGTATTATTGTTTTCCTTGTGAATGCTTCTTTTCCTTGTCAAGATTAGATGTCATAATGCAAATTCCACATAAAACAGTTCAATCACTGATTCGGGTGTTTTATGCTAGCAGTGCCTAAAGTATGCTTGAGTCAATTTTTGTTAATTGTTTCCTTATAGTTAGCTCTGACACATGTTTGTAATTGTGATAGTTTACTATTCTTATGAAAGTTCATTGACTCTTGTGTGTTTTAATTCATTTTCAGCCAATCAATAGCTGTATACAGATGCCCTTATATGGTGTGGAAGTTGTGGTACAAGGTGGAGTGGGCTGTACAACGAATGTAAGCCATGATGATGCTCAGTGATATTGTGTGTAAGTGTACATTCATTTGAATGAGTCAATCTTTTTTTTCTTTCACATTTGCCTAGAGGAGTTTGTTTCTTCCTCCGTGATTGGTCAAAACTCAGTGAAAAGCCCGGAAATATGCAAACACATGCAAATCTCGCAGGGCCTAGGGGGCCAGAAGAGGATTCAGGATCTTTTGTTATCAGATAGAGAATCAGCTGTTAGAGACCTACAGAGAGTCTGCAAACAAGAGAACCAGGTAGGTTCTGCTCAATCATATTATAGAGTTTGCTTGCTGTATTTCAGTCGTCTATCTTAAATCTTATTGTGTTCAACTTATCAAGTTCAACATTTTTAAATGTAAAGTCAACATTTGTGTTGTAGGTCTGTATTTAATGTTTCAAATTTAGATATTATGATCATAATAATTTCCTCTTTTAGGAGCAGACAAATAAGCAATAAGAGCTGAAGCCAACTGCACTTGAGCAACATGGAGTACACATTCAAAGCAGTAACTCAAAGCCCGGGAGTAATTATCTGGAGAATTGAGGTAAATTGATTTTACATCTTGTGCTGCGGTGAAGTGATTTGTTTTTTGAATCAGCCGTTGAGTTTGATGTTGAAAGAAAAGTTTGCATCTCCAGGATAAATGACAAAAACAGCAGTGATGAAGGAAAAAAAAAAGTGTTCTCTCTGTGCAACAGAAAATGGAGCTGGCCCAACTCCCAGAAAAATCTTATGGAAACTTTTATGAGGGTGACTGCTACCTACTTCTGTCTGTAAGTCTGAGATGGTGGCTGATGGATGTTAACAGTATGGGATGCTGGTTTGTCTTATTTGCTATCCAGTTCTCATGGCTGTATTTGTAGTTTTTGCTCTTTGCATGTATTTTCTTTGTATTATGAAGAAAGGACAAAAGATTCAGTCATTAGACTTTTAGCGTGGACAGTTGCATCCTACACACAAACACACTTTTTTTCTCTGCTTCTTTTATTTCTGCAGACACAGAAGGTGAGCAACTCTCTGAGTTATGACATTCACTACTGGATTGGCTCTCAGTCTTCTCAGGACGAACAAGGTGCAGCAGCTATTTACACTATCCAGCTGGATGAGTTTTTGGGCTCCTCTCCAGTCCAGCACCGCGAGGTTCAAAACCACGAGTCCGATGAGTTCAGGGGCTACTTCAAACAGGGAATAATGTGAGTGAGAATAATGATACAGAAGGCAGACATTTAAAGACGAAGATGAGTCATGTAATCATCATCTTGTCTCGTGCAGCTATAAGAAAGGTGGAGTGGCATCAGGAATGAAGCATGTTGAAACCAACATGTATGACGTTAAGAGACTGCTTCATGTCAAAGGGAAGAAACGAGTGACTGCTAAAGAGGTGAGCAATGCTTCATGGTCGTATCAGACAAATACAGTAAAATGTATCTTAACATACCCTATTGTGTCGTATTGTATCATTTTGTTGCATCATATAGTATCACTGTATCGTGTCATATTGTTTCTTAATAGTTTTTCATTGTATTGCATGCTATCATTTATCATATCATTATTGTATCATTAACTAATGCATCATATCATGTTATATAGAAAGAGGGCTTTATGTTTTGATTTGTTTCAGGTGGAGATAAGCTGGAAGAGCTTCAACCTCAGTGATGTGTTTTTGTTAGACATTGGCAAGACCATCGTTCAGTGGAATGGACCCAAGAGTAACAGACAGGAAAAGCTCAAAGTAAGACTTTTTGGGACCATAAATGATCCTGTGCCAAACATATGATCGACAGTAGTATACTAGAAAGAAAATAAGCTTGAATGACTTCTCTTAGAAACTAATCTGGACCTATGTTCATCCCAGTCACTCCTCATTGTTTCATTCCTCTAGGATATGTGGTTGTTTGCCTCTGTTCAAAAAGAACACCAAACTCTTCCCTTTGTTTATTAGTCTGATAGTAGGACATTTTATGATCATATGAACTCAAAAGTAACATAAAAGACATGTGAGTTGTGTTGAGGTACTCTAATCCTTCTGTTCTGTGTCTATGACGTCATTTTGAAGCCCAGTCCTGAAATATTTTGTTGAAAAAAACATTGGGTCCTTTCATTGCAGCCGTCATTAGACGTAAACAAATTTAGTAAAATATCTGGCAGTTCACAACAATTCAGTGTAACCTTAAACTTTTAAGCTAACCTTATTCCTTTTGTTGGTGTTTACATCATTCTGCCTATTTCTTAGATATTGTTTTATGTTACAGATTTCATTTTAATAACTGGATATCTAACATATTGAGATGTAAAGTTTGAAGGGAGTAAAACTCTTAATATAAATTAATATGTGAATAAAAGTGACTTCTTGAAATGTCTCTTACAGTGATTAAATATTGAGCTTTGTTAATATTCCAACCACTCTGAGTCAAGCATGTAAAGCACTGGATCCTTTAACGTTTCAGTAAACCCTTGCTTTCTTCATATTAGTTCACGTTCAAGACGTGATAAGGTGTTTTAAATGGTTGGTGTTCAAGTGTTTCATTTGTTTGTGTACAATAAGACAACAGCAATGTGGACTCCAAACCACCATTACTCCCAGCTTTAAAAAACCCCAAGATTTGATGCAAGCTAGAAAGAATAATTAAATTCAAGAAACACAAAGGCATAATTATAGAGGACAAAATGGAGGCGAGACATATTGACATTTCCTCAGAATAACATTATTATTATTATAAGTATCAGAGTAAAACAATGTATTTCCTTACCTTGCCATTTCTCCAGCTATGAACTCTTATGGCCTGCTAAAAGAAAAAGCAGCAAAATTGGAAAATGTACACTTTTTAGGTCAAGAGTACCACAAGAGGGCAGCCTTCAGAAGGACTTTTCACATGAATGCAGTTACCAAGACTCCATTTAAAGGCATCCTTTTCCTACTTTGTATTATGCCATATCCTCAAAAGTCCATATCTAGGTTAGAAAATAAAAAACGTTGTTTAAAATCCCAAAGCCTGAAGCCCTAACTGGGCTATAATAGGCAAAATGACATAAACAAGTTTTGTTCTCAGTTGTAAGAAATCTCCCCCTATAGGAAATTAAACAGCAGTGATTCTGCTTATAAGGAAACTAGTAAAACTGAACTTCCTGTTCGGTTAAGTTAAATATCTGTGTGAGAACTAAGTGGCACACTTAATTTTAAAAAGCTCACAGTCCAACATATCTGGATTCTATCATTTTTCTCTCCTGTACCTCTGACTCTCAGGGCATGTTGTTGGCCAAAGACATCCGAGACAGAGAGAGAGGTGGTCGTGCAGAGATCACAGTAATCGAGGGTAATGCAGAGAGTGACTCTCCTCAGAGTATGGAGATCCTGAATGATGCTCTCGGAGACAGAACCTCTGCGCTGACAGACGGGCTTCCGGATGAAATTGCTGACCAGGAACAGAAGTCAAAACTCATGCTTTACCAGTGAGCATATCCCAGACAGTGAAATCTAGTGTTTTTAGTAGTGAACAAGGATTCATGGATTTCCAGGTTATGGGTTTTATTTCTTCTTCCTTTATTTCAGTGTGTCAGATGCTGATGGCCAGATGAAGGTCACAGAAGTTGCTAGCAGACCGCTGGTTCAGGATCTCCTCAACCATGATGTGAGTTTGTGAAATACAATTCAAATAATGGACAGATTTACTCAATATTATATAAGCAAAGGAGACAATTCACCATTTTTGTACAGCTTAAAGCTTCTAACGTTGTTTCTTGGGCCTCTGGAGGACAATTGAAGATTTTAATAACTGATGGTATGGAATAATCTTGAAATGTATACATAATGCTGTTATCTATTTAGGACTGCTTCTTCCTGGATCAGGGAGGAATAAAGGTCTTTGTGTGGAAGGGGAAAAAAGCAAACAAAGCTGAAAGACAGGCCGCTATGAGCAGAGCTTTGGTGGGTAACTCTACATCAGAGCTACACATTTATCCTAATTTTCTGTTTGTGGCACTTACATGCTGTTTTTACACTCAACTCACACTTATAAGTACCAATGAGTTATAAACTGCTAGTAAACAATCCTGAAGAACTTCATAAAGGAAGGCTTTATAGTGTGATGGTTGCAACAAACAGGTTTTAGCTAGATGTACTTAATAAACTTGTAACTGATTGTATGTCCTCATCTTTTCTGGCTGGCTGTTATAGGAGTTCATCAAAGCCAAAAACTATCCCATCTCTACAAATGTGGAGACCGTAAATGACGGGGCAGAGTCAGCTCTGTTCAAGCAGCTGTTCCAAAGGTGGTCTGTGAAGGACCAGACTCAGGGTCTGGGTAAAGCACATACAAGAGGAAAAGTGGGTATGTATGTTCCTTAATAAAAAACATCAAACACAGGCTGTGTCCAAAACACCCTTCTCTTCTAAAAAGAAAAATACTGTGTTATTGTTTAATGATTTTCTTTTGTCACACTATCCTGTCTTAGCTCATATCACACAGGAAAAGTTTGATGCCAATCTGATGCACTTGATGCCAGAAGTTGCTGCACAGGAGCGTATGGTGGACAATGGTACTGGAGAAGTAGAGGTAACTGTGACAATTTTTTTATATTTAATATTTTTATTTGCATTTTCATTTAGTAACACAGTAACACACACACACACAAAAAGACAAACATATAGACATAACTGTTAACTGTGACAAATTAACATTAATTCACTTTCAAGGAGGATCCATTTGTCATACTAGCTATCATCAGCAGGTCATAAAATGACCAGCTCCAGTTATTGATTGATATCAATGCTAACACATTGTGCTATTGAATTTACTTTCAGCATTCTTATATGTTAAACAAAAGAATGTTACATTACATTTAAAATTATATTTAATTACCATGTTAACTGCTGCATGCTTCATACTCTTTGCTCATTTTAGTATGCTAAAATGCTAGCAAACTCCTGTACTAAAATGTGAGGAATTTTGATGGATTAACATTAAATGGCAACAGTTTAGCATTGTACAAACAATATTCTTCTTTAAGTGCAGCTTAAGCTGTACAGTAGGTTGGTTTGGCAATAACTCTAGATGCATTTAAACAGAAACCATTTTGACTCATCACAGCAGGAAAAGCAAAAGTGTTACTAATGGATCTGTTCAAGCTTAGCCTTGATACAGTGAGCCAACATACACATTATTTAGATCCTGAATCTGAGGCAGCTGAATGGAACACATTCATAATTAAATTTACTGTTTGAAAAAAATCCAGCTTCATTTTGTGCTTTAATTACAACCAAATGTGAGGCTGGCATAGGCCTACCTAGACTTCATAAGCAACAAGTAAACACTAAATAAAAAAGATGCTGACGCTCCACCATACTGCATGTTCTCTTTTTTACTTGTAGCATTCTGCAGCAAAGAGGTGGCTTATTGCCTTAAGTGATTCAGTGTTAATTAACCTTTTCTATCCGTCCAGGTGTGGAGGATTGAGAATGTGGAGCTCGTGCCTGTGGACCCTGAATGGTATGGATACTTTTATGGAGGAGACTGCTACCTGATCCTCTACACCTACCAGGTTAACAGCAAAAGGTGTTACCTGCTCTACATGTGGCAGGTGATAACAACTGATGTCTTACACATTATTTATAATTCAGGATTATACACTAAAATAGTGAATTACATTAAAAAAAACATTGTGACAATAACTGCTTAACAATTATTGTTTCAGGGTCGTCATGCGACACAGGATGAGTTGGCAGCCTCTGCATTTCAGGCTGTGGATCTGGATCAAAAGTTGGGGGGTGAGCCAGTTCAAGTGAGAGTAACAATGGGCAAAGAACCGAGACACTTTATGGCGATTTTCAAGGGGAAAATGGTCATCTTTGAGGTACGGCAGGTGGCTGATCATGTACAGTCTTGTCAAGTTGACATTCAGCCCTACTCCTATTCTTGACACTTATACAGTTTTTATAACAGGCATTTCTCATTTTTCTGTTAGGGGGGCACATCTCGGAAAGGTGCTACTGACCCAGAGCCACCAATACGGTTGTTCCAGGTCTGTGGTTCTGACCAGTCCAATACAAAAGCCATTGAGGTTCCTGTCCTGGCATCCTCACTGAACTCTAATGATGTGTTTCTTCTGAGGAGCCAATCAGGGATTTATCTTTGGTGTGGGAAGGTAAGGGAGATAGTGTTTGAAAAATTGCAAATAGTTTACAGTAGAGTAACAATACAATATGATACATTTTGCTTTGGTTTATAAATATTTAAAACATGGGGGACAGTTATATTTGACAAAAGTGTGTTTCCAGTTTGGAAATGATAATGCTACTGTGCATAAAGCCAGGACCACAGAGAAATTGGTGTCAAATTGGTGTTGAAGGGGCTCAGTTTGTTTTAGATACAAGTAGCAGGGCTCCAAGGTGGACAGGTTGGGAACCACTGGTTTACACAATGAGTCTCTTAGAGTCTGCTGAAGACTGAAGAACAGCCTGATTCCTCTTGATCAGGTCTGCCCCCTTTGTTGACTCTTTAAAAAGCCACCTCAGAATACATATATATGTACATTTAACTATGTCAGTGGAAGATCAGGATCAAAATCGCCTCTCATATATATGTATTTACTTGGGTAAAACTCTATTGGGTCTAAACTCTATTGGTCTAGTTCACTTTAATCAAATCAGATAATTATCATACATCGTCACAACTAAATATCTGACCGTAATACTTCAAGTTTTAAAAGGATGTTACTGTCTTTTTGTGGGAAGGGGTCGAGTGGAGACGAGAGAGCCATGGCTAAGGAGGTCAGCACTGCGATTGGCCAGAACTCACAGAGAGGCTCTGAGGAGTTGGTGGCAGAGGGTCAGGAGCCCATTGAATTCTGGGAGTTACTTGGAGGGAAAGCTCCCTATGCGAGTGACAAGAGGTGATGATGACACACAAATAAACTATAAGAATCTTTTAAGTGAGCTTCATGGCTGACACAGAGAAGGTAAAACACACTCATCATATGTTGTTGGCTACAGATTACAGCAGGTGGTTTTAGATCATCAGCCGCGCCTCTTTGAGTGCTCCAATAAGACGGGCCGTTTCATCGTGACAGAGGTGACTCAGTTCACTCAGGAAGACCTCAGTGAGGATGATGTCATGCTGCTGGATACATGGGACCAGGTATGAGGGTGTGACGCAAAATCACAGTTATATGTTTATATTTTTCTTATCATTGCCTATTCTATGCTATTCTTTCACTCTTGAATTTGACTATCTATCTATCTATCTATCTATCTATCTATATATCTGTCTGTCTGTCTGTCTGTCTGTCTGTTGTCTGTCTGTTTGTCTGTCTGTCTATCTTTCTTCTGTCTTAGGTGTTTCTGTGGATTGGTAAAGAGGCCAATGAGGTTGAGCGGAAAGAATCTGTGGTAACAAGTCAGGAGTATCTGCGCACCCACCCGGGAGACAGAGACCCAGACACCCCAATTGTCCTGATCAAGCAGGGATTTGAGCCGCCCACCTTCACTGGGTGGTTCACAGCCTGGGACCCCTCCAAATGGAGTGTGAGTGGTTTGGGTTTGAACTAAAAGAACAACAACACGTATTTTTGATGAATAAAAGATCAAATGCTGACAGCTATTTGTTCTTTTCCTTCAGGGAGGAAAGAGCTACGAGGAGTTAAAGAAGGAGCTGGGAGATGTAGCATCACCTTTGCAAGTTTCAACTGTATGTACATTTAATATTGATTTATCAAGCTTTTAGGGCAACAGAAACAATAACTTGTCTGACACAGTGCTTACTTCTTCATGCACATGTCATGAAGGTTCTCATAGTGTTGCGCTGTACACACATATGAAGAGATGTTAAAGGATTCAGGGTTACTTTTGGGACAGGATGATGTCAGAAGTTAGTCTTTATAATAAATGTAAAACATAACTTTTTTTTTTTAAATGATTTTTAAGTTTTATAGTTTTAAAACTATGTAGCTACTGGGCTCTTATCAAACATAATAATAAGCCTATTTCAAAGAGCCAGTTCAAAGCCAAAACAGTATGTCATGTACACACAAATATAGATTTATATTATGTATTGGAATTGTAACCTGAATCTTAAGTGTAACTTCTTTTAGGAGCACTGTACTGAGAGTGAGAAAACCTTACAGTCGTTTCCACCTGACACGTTGTGCAACAAGCTGGCAAACGAGCTGCCTGAAGGTGTTGACCCAACCCAGAAAGAGGTGTGTGTGTGTGTGTGTGTGTGTGTGTGTGTGTGTGTGTGTGTGTGTGTGTGTGTGTGTGTGTGTGTGTGTGTGTGTGTGTGTGTGTGTGTGTGTGTGTGTGTGTGTGTGTGTGTGTGTGTGTGTGTGTAATAATGTGGAATAGTTGAATATTTTAAAGTATATTTTGCACAATTTAATTTAAACACAATTTATCCCTACATTTATTTAATACAGTTTATATCATATTGATAGATGTCAGAGGAGTGTGTGTGTGTGTTTTTTGATTAAAAGACACCAGAGTTATCAGTTGCGTTTTTCTTGCTTTCAGAAATATCTTTCTGACTCGGACTTCAACGATGTGTTTGGAATCACCAAAGACGACTTTGTGAGCATGCCACGTTGGAAACAGGTCAACATGAAGAAAGAGAAGGGGATGTTTTAATCATGTTTATCTGTATTATAATTAGCTACTAGCATTAATGTACAAAATGCAAGAGACAATTGCTGGCTAACCACTTTAGCTTTGTTAATCTATTTAAGAAGGGTTGCCTATATGTTTTATTTACAGTCATAGATTTGTTTTAAATAACTGTCAATAATAACTTAATAATTCCTATAACTTTTTTTACCTGTGTTGATTTTCCTTTGCTCGTTATGTTATAACTATATTAAACACCTGTATGGGTAATTCTTCTGTTTAAGAGAATTAAAATACTCAGGTGAAGTGCAGGTTCTTAATGATTTTTTACATTTAACTAACCCTGAACTCCCTCATGAACATCAGATCAAATGCAAGTAAGCAAAAAATGGTCTACAATGCCATCTGTTGGTCAAATAATATCACACATAGTATCTGGTATAATTACAGGTCTGTCTGCAGTAAAAGGATTCAGTTGATCCTCTTCCATACATTTTTCATTCTAACTTGAAAACTACAACCACATTTTTTTTTTAAAGTTGTTGAGAAGTCTTTCAATGTAGTTTTCAAAGATGTAAATAAAAACAAAAAACCATCAGCATCTACATGATTCACGTTTTTATTTAGATATGTCTGGAATGTCATTTAAATTACAAGTATAAATCTGTGTCATTACATGTGAACATTTCATACAACAATCAGGACGTTCAAAATATGCAGACTCTTTAAAGGCATTGAACTACAGTAAAAACTTTTTTTTTGCATCAACAAGTAAAATGCAAAAATAAAATCATTTAAAAAAATGGAATGCTGTGTGTTTAAATCCACCAAAAAACAGCATCAGTGATGTGTTCAAAGAACAACGTCTGAAAACGATGTGTAAAATATGACCTGAATAGAAAGATAAAATGAACAAGTGACGCAAATGACATCTGACCAGCGTCGGTGTAAATGACCTGAATGTTCAAGCCCTGAATACAGAGACGACACACAGCACTTCAGTAGAAGTCACCTCATGTAATAAAAATAACATAAAATCAATATAAAAATTTACATTCTGAACCCACAAAATGACATGCAACTAACTGCTATCTTTTATATTTCATGACTGCTTTAATATATTTCCCCTTTAGTTTTCATTTTCCATTTAAAAAAAATGTCATATGATATGTTCCCTCATAACTTCAAATATGTATTAAAGCCTGTCAAAGTCCACCCTTAAAAACAAGGAATGGCAGTATATCCAAACACTTTTTGCATGCCAAAGTACTAAAAAAAGACCGACATTGACTTATTTGGAGATTGAAAATGTGATACATTCTAAGGTGCTCATGCAAACTGTTCAAATGAGGTGAGAGGGTCGGATTCTTGCTTCTAGCTTAAAAAAGGGAATGTAACATTGCAAAAATAACCATCAAATGTTGTGGTTAAATACAAAGCGAGTACAGCATTCAGAGACCAGCAAAGAGACTCATTGGAAAAAGTTTCACTTGTAATGTGCAAACACACAGTTTATACTGTGCAGGCAGAGGGCATACAGCCTGCAACAGGTCGGCTGATCAGTTATCCTCAACATGTTTGGTTGTAAGGGGAATGTTGTTTCTGATGTAATCTGATTTATTTGTGCCAGGATATAAGATCTTTAAAAAGTGCAAATGCAGCCAAATCAATTCTCCAAAATTCAAAATAAAAAAAACAGGAAAAGGGCTGTATATGAAAGATAAAAAAATAAAATCTTCAGGCAGCAAAGAAATGGCATTTTCCCTTACTTAAAAAAATCAGATTTTATACATTTAAAAAAAAAGCAACATTTGAAAATCTGTATCTGAACTTCCCAAGGTGGTTGTCCCATATGTTCTGAACTTTCTTTACAGATGGATCGAATATCTTCAAATACAGCTGTGAGTGTCAGAAGCTTTCACACTGACTCTCAATCTCTAACTTTCTTTTGTATTGTTTTGATTTGAGGTCAAAGTGCAACAGTCCAAATCCTTCTATAGCTCACTGTGTTTTGTATACAGGAAATCCTGATTAGTGTCCTGGCAGCTGTGAGTGTATAAAACAACTTCTTAAAAAAAGTAAGCAAAGAGGTAACCGATCAAAAGAAACATAAGAGTGTTGTTTCTGTTGATCTATGCATTCAAAGAAAAGAAAGATATTAAGACGGACATTAAAGAGGAATTATTGGCAAATTAATTTGAAGTAGTATTGAGTTTAAAGGACAGATAGTAAATCACCTGGATCCTGAGTTCCTTAGTTGTGAACTTAAGTTTACTATTACAGTGAATGACGACAAGATCTAAAACTTACCCTCATTTTCATTATCAATTACGCTGCCCATCGTTTTCACCTTTCATTACTTAGTTGTAAAAATGTTGAGAAGTATTGTCTCAATTCCAAGACCTAAACACATTTCTTTGACTCTCAAAACAAAGAAAGGCTAAGTTTGGATTTGAATTGAAAAAGGATGGACGATAAGTTGATTGTCTAAATGATTATTGTTTGTTTTTTCGGCTAATCAATCAACAGAGTAAACCTCAGACCTATAATTAGAACTGTGAACGTTACTTTTGGCCCACCCTAATTATAAGACGTGTCAACTGCAAATTAAAGCGCTTATACAAAATGATCTGTAGTTACCTTCCCCCTCGTTCCCAGTGGTAGATAAAACAGATCAGTTAAGACACGATACAGCTTTCAGGGCTTTTGGGGTCACTGGGCTGGCAGCTGTCTCCCTCACTATTCTCTGAATCATGAGGAAGCTCCAAATTTTCACCTGGAAACATCCCTTCCTGTTCCGGAGTCTCCGCTGAAGCATCTTCATAGGCACTTATGCTGTCGGAATCGTTCCTTTCTGGAGAAGGATCTCGTCCGTCCACACCGTTTTCGTAAGGCCTCCTCAGGACTCCATCTTCAGACAACGGGTTGTCTAAAGCAAGAGAGGGCATTTGGGCCAAAGGCTTATTGACCATCTTCATCCTTATCAGGACATTACCTTTGTCCTCTGCTGCTTCTCCTTTTCCCTCTTCCTTTGATGCTCCACCAATGGAGGGATCTTTTTCTTCTCTGCGAGTAGCCTCCATCAGGTCCTCGGCTTTATTTTCCATCTGGTGTCCTTTTGTTGGCTCATCTTCACATCCCTGTGTGTTCACTGGAGCAGACAGTTGGTCATTTCCTGCCTGCAAAGATTTGCATTTGAAAAACAAACTGAACAAATAAAAGATGACAGAATTCCTTTGTTCAGAATTCTCTGTACCAAAGTCCTGAACCCAACCAACACCTATATACACATATATATATATATATATATGTAAATATACACAAACATTTGCATAGTAAGTTTAAGGCTAGCCTAGAAAAACTTAACTAAAAACATACATATCTCCATTTTTCACATTCCTGACAAACTGTTATGTAACTTGTTCAGTACTAATGCACCTCTTTATATGTTCAAAAACCCTGTGCCTCTGGTATGTTATGTAATGGCTCTAAATATCACATTACCTCCTTTAATCTCTCCACCTCCTGCATCAGAGAGCACATCAGTCTCTCCATTTTCCTCTTGGCCTCCCGCTCTTGCTCCAACTCCTACAGATGCAGAGAGAAAGATGGCATAAAGAGAGGACCAGCCTGTTAGAGTCGTACTTAGTTACAACAAGAAATTAAAGACAAACTCCTCATGAGAAAGGATGAAGACTAAAGGAAGTCACTATGAGGCTGAAGTATTGTTTTAGTTTTGGTGAACTGTGGTTGTACCATGTTAGCCTGTCCAGCTTCCCTTTGCGCCTCGGCCAGCAATTCCTCCACACCCTCCAGCGTGTCCTGCAGGACATCCACCTGGAACAATAGAGTCTCCCGCTCAACCTCCAGCCCATGCAGCTCCTGCACCACCTCGTCATAGCTGGCCTGCAGCTCCAGCTACAACACAAGCACAGTTGAAAATCAGCGTGGGAAACTTTAGAGGTACCAAGGCATGCCAGTCAGTGGGTGAGCAAGTTTTTTTTACTCTCAGAGGCATCAGTGGGAGGCATTATCTGAAAGCATGACAATCCCTTCATGTGCAAAGAAATAGGTATCACTGCAGTAATCATAATACTTAAAGAACTGTGTACAAGACAGAAATAGCAATTTGTCAGAAAAGTAGAACATACTCACCATTTCTGGGAGGCCCATGAAGAGGTCCTGTTCAGTCTGTTTAAAAATGACAAGACTTCAATTAGATAAACCAAAAGCACCATTTTCTTCAAGTCTGTATAGGATCCTGTGTCATTCTCACTCTCATTTACTCAAAATAACTACAAGATAAAAACTAATCACAACATAAAACGTAAAAGTATAATTGAGGTTTACAAATGTAATCATATAGGAAGCTTTATGTGTTGCATGACCGTGAAATTGGATTGTTCAAGAGTATTGAGATAGAAATATAAATGAAGATAAATGTAGCAATATGATCTGATGATACATCGATGAATCTATGTTTTTGAAATACTAGCTCATGTAAATAAGTGTCCTAAAAATAAGCTGTGGCAGCCGAATGTTCAAGATATAGAACTGTTCAAAGAGCACCAACAAATCAGCTGGTTGACCTTTTGTTTCTTATTTCACCTTAAAGCTGTTCATCTTGCAGTGTCACAGAATCTGACGAGTCACAGACTTTGACAGTTCACAGATAAGTGACCTCATGTAAATACAGTACAGTGGAGCCAGAGATAACAGCTCTCAAAACACAAATAGGGATTAAATATGATAGAAACATTTATACATGCAATACACGTGACATTCCCGATAAGGTTACAGAATTTGGTGCAGTTTGAAAAGAATTTAACAAATCGGATCTCTGTCTCTCCATGTTTTTTATCCCAGTAAAGCAAAGTCTTAAAAACTATGCATAACAGAGAAACAGTGAAAATGGGTCCAATTTGAATAGTCTATATCACATGGTCTGAAGTAAAGAGTGCATTTAGGATGAGTCCAGTCCCTCTATTACAAATAAGCATCATTTTAAATAAAATTGATTAATTGATTTTTATTGTGATGCACAGTCTGAAATGTGTCTTTCATCACAGCAGTTCCATTTACAACATAAAATCAAAGACATGATATGAAAACATGCGACACAACACTCAAACACCATCAAATATTCAGAGGTCTACAACAAACTTTTAAACCTGGATTAAGCTCCAAATCCACTTTTAGGATTGACTGGTGTTAAAAAGTTATTCAGACAAAACAGAGCAAATTTTATTTTCTCATGTGAATACAATATGCTTCTGTACAAGAGTGCTTCAGTCTGATCTTGTTTAAACGTGGGACCCTGTTTCTCAGGTTGAATGGTTAATGTTTCCCTCAGAGCTTGGTAGTTAAGCTGACCGCCTTAACAACACGTACACTTTGTCTTTACTACTGCTGTAGAACCCAAATTGATTAAAATCCTCCTTCGTCTCTATGCCTGAATTCACACTGCAATCATTAACGCTCAATTCAGATTTTTTTGCTCAAATCTGATTTATTTTTTATCTGGCTGTTCACATTGGTTTTTAAATGTGGCCTGGACAAGACACACATGAAAGTGGGCAAAATCTGATTTGAACATGTGCTGTTCACATTGTCGTGACCAAAAAAAAAAAAAAATCACATTTGAGCAATAAAATGAGAGTCAGCGCACTTTTGGCTGCAGTGTGAACGAAGCCTTTGTAAGATCCAACAGCAGCTCCTGATGACTTTGAATGCCTTGTTTGGATCAGAACATCACACTCGATTTTAATACATTTCTTCTCACCATGTTATTGTATCTATCATGCCGGTCTCAGCTAATGGTTACGGATGATAATCAGACAGCATGCTGTAGTCTAAAGCTGCAAACTACAAACTAAATCCCTTTACAGACAGAGGGGCTGCTTCTCAGCAGACAAGGCCGGCAACTGCTTGGGGGGGCCAGGCCAGAGGGGCCCCTGAGGGCTGACAAACTAAACCACAGCAGTGGCTCAAAATTTTGCTATGGCAGTAGCAAACCTCCCTTTAAGTAGGCCTGCTTAAAACTTCACAGACACAGGCTGAAAGATTTGAGTTTTACAACACTCTAAAATTGTGTTTCTTAATTTAAAATGTTTATCTGTAAACAGCTGTATTTTTTATAGGAAAACTATTATTTGAAAATCCTAAAACTCAAACTGTAAACACAACAGACTATATTGCTTTTGATTGTTTGTGTATAAATCTTTAACCCGTCAGATACGGAACATAATCGGTATGATTAACGAAACGGATTAGCCGTGGATGATTGTGACGTACAGGTGTTCCGGTGTGCTCGTGTGGCACCTACCTGACTGTCAGTCTTCCTCTTCAGGGTGCCTGCTCGACTGTCGCTCCGTGCCAGACGCCTGGATGTGCTCTCGGACTAAATAAAGAGACAAAACAACAAAAAGGTGTCTGGAATCATATTTACATGAAGCTAACAAGCTAATGATAATGGGGAAGTAACCTGACGCTCCAGACGTCCATTTGAAGAGTCTTAAATTGTAAACAAAAAGGCTTAACTTTACACTGACTCTCCTTTTAAACGTGTTTAATAAATCCAATACTGAGCTTTTTACACAACAGACCTTTAGCTTTAGCTCTCAAAGACAAAAACAATACGCCGTGATTTTAGTACCCACGTCTTTGATGAGGCTGCGGAGAGACTCGTCCTCGCTTATTCCCCGAGATAACGTCCGCTTCTTGGGCGAACCGTCCAGAGTGACTGAATGCATTTTTAATGTTAAATGTGAAGTTTTCCTTTATGTAAGTGCCACCTCCGCGCTCTCCGGTGAAGCAGTGTTCGGGTGTTTATTTCCTACGCAGAGGCAGCAGTGACTGGACTGCCGACGCCCAGGCCGGAATCTACGGAAAGCCTCGGGGACCAAACTGCCTTTTAACAACGCCCTCACTCCGCCCACTCTTACAGAGGAGTTAAAGATCAGCCACGGGACACGAGTCATTTCTGAAAGTGTGCCGGGTCTAATATGAAATATTTCTACTTTGTTTTAACGTTTAAATGGCGCACATTAAGTCCCTGGCCCTGAAACTAGAACTCGTCGGAGACGGCAAGACCAACCAGGTGTTTTCAGGTGAGCTTGATGGCTTGTTTATTTTACAGTGATGGGAAGTAAAACATACTGTAGGCTTCATGTCCTGTGATTTGGGGCAATTTTAAGGTCATTTTATTTGACTTGAGTATTTCTATTGTCTTATTTTGTCTACTTCAACTTCCTCTGAGAGGCAAATTTTCTGTTTTTCATTTAAAATAGTTTTAGGCTATCAGACTGTTTAGCTGGTTTAATAGGCAAGCTACATATAGCCTACCACACATTTTAAAGTTAATTGGTATAACATTTAGTAAAAACAATATGCTGCAGATATATATGTCCCTAAATGTAGCCTAATTAAGCCTAATCCTAACTTCACTTTTAAATTACATTTATTAATGAATTTTAATATGTGAACGTAGGCCTATACTATTCACTTTGCCTCCTGTCTTATAGGCCTTTTTTTAAAGCTGACATTATGAAATACACAGGTGTAAATAATAATATTAATGGGGATTGGGTACTATCTCAAGAAGTCCTGATAGTGAGACATGGAGCCATTATAAGTGTAATCATTTACACCTAGTGATGCAGTGAAGAGAACCTTGATTGTTGTAGCTTAAACATGTGTCTTGTGGTTTAGAGAATCCATATACTAGAGCTGATGCTGACAATTATTGTTGACAAGAGAACAAAAGTAAGGAAGTCTGAGAAACAGAAGCAACAACACACCTGATGACATTAAAATAAAACAATAAGTAGAATTAATTTCAGATTCACTGATGCATAATCCTCATATACTTTTATTTAATGAAGTATTTGAACAACAGATTTCATGCTGTTTTATACCTAAACTATTGTTTTACAAGGACATGCTGCAATAAGGAGTGAATGATGTATTAACACATTAAATCTAGTAACTGTTGTGTTCAGCAGCTGCAGCTGTGTTTTCCTCCAGCAGAGTACACTGGTGAGTCAGTTACGCCTGAGAGATTACTGAGAGAAGAAAACTAATTTATCTATAAAGTACAATGTGTTCATGTACATATCTGTACCATGGACATCACACATTTAATTGAACACACTCGCAGCAATCAAAACAGTGTCTGTTAATGGTTGTTAGTTTGGCTATTTAATTTTTAAGCAAATCACAGTCTGCCTTAATGTGGGGCTCAGTGATGAAACGTTTCAACAAAAGTCAACAAAATTGGTTATTCATAAAGACACAACTTCAAATGCATAATGTTGTCCTAAGGTTATGCTGCATTTAGTACAATGAAGTTTGGCCTATAAGCATTCTAACTGATTAAAAAGGTTTGTATACATAAAATCAGAGTATGAAGACGTGCTTCAGCTGCATGATTTTAGTAAATCTTTCAGGATATAGTCTAAAACTAATTTCACATTAATACAATTGTATGAAGGCTCTAGTAAACCACATGTGTTCTTTTTAGCCATATACTGTCAAGAAAAGGTCAGTATATATGTTACTGGTTCACACAGATACTTCTGCAACTTCTATAATCTACATGTAACCATGTGGTGGCTTTATATGAACAACATTAAGTGGCTTTATTGCTAAAAACGTATCACAGATATATTCAAGATGTGTTTTTTTATTTTTTTTTAAATGATGTAGGGAACTCGATAGCAATCTTCAAAGCTTTTTCTGCTTAAACCATAATAAAGCAGTCATAAAATATGCGCAGAGTCGTAGCTACTGTATGTCATCATCATAGTAACCTAATTAGGCTTCGTGTGATATGAGACATTGCTTGTGCACTGTAAAAACAATTATACTCTCATAACAGCGCGCGCACCCTCCCTCCGCTCTGTCCCTCTTGACTTGGTGACAGACCTAAAAGCCTTTTGTTGCAATCTTAGCCAATGGAGACGGATTACGACACCGGGCAGCTGAGATATATAAAGAGCCCCTTTTTGACCGCACTTGCACATTTTTCAGTGACACTTCTGAACACTCACACACCTCTTTGGACTAAATTGTACAGAAGAACCCCCAAACCAACCATTATATTACATGTGATCGGACTATGCATGCTACACACAGATAATTTGTTAACCTTCAGTCAAAAACAGCCTGCACCGAGACACACTGGGACCTACTTTTTCTTTTTGAAAATCTATTGCAAAATCTACTTCTGCAACAAGGCAAAAACGGGGTGATCGTATTGGATTAGATGCATGTCAATGATTGCGTACCTTTTGTAGGATAACTCAAGAAGCGAAGCATATCCGAGAGAGGGGATATAACAGGATAAAGCGAAAACAGAGAGAGGCAAAAGAAACAAAAAAGTTGCATTGCCTGTTTTCCACGCGCCGTAATGCCGAGGTACAACTTCTTATTGTGCTTGATGGTGCTCGTGTCTCTGGGACAGTCGGGGAGCGATGAGGCCAATCTGCTGTTGCCCTCTCCCAGCGAGACACCCACGGATGCCGGGCTGTCCCTGCTGGACGAGGACGCCGGTTCCCACGAGTGCTCTGCCTGCGTTTGGAGGGAGCAGAGCAAAGTGCTGAGGCTGGAGACCATAAAGTCACAGATCCTGAGCAAGTTGCGTCTGAAGCAAGCGCCCAACATCAGCCGGGAGGTGGTCAATCAGCTGCTCCCCAAGGCGCCTCCGCTCCAGCAGCTGCTGGACCATCACGACTTCCAAGGGGACGCGTCGTCCCAGGATGAGTTCATGGAGGAGGATGAGTACCACGCCACCACGGAGTCCGTGATCACCATGGCCTCTGAGCGTGAGTAATAGATTTTACAACCCAACAATATTGGCTCCAAATGCGTCATGCGCGTAATTGCTTGAGTAGAGAGGTTCAAGTGACACAGGCCTTTACTGCGTGCATGGTCAGTGACTTAACCTAGTATTTACATTGAGATCGGGGGTCCACAGTGTGCGTCTGAAGCGGACTGATAATATTACACAGATGAGTGTGGTCACCTGCGGCTGTCAAAATAGGCAAGGGATAACGCGTTAAGCTGGCAAATCAATGATCAGCTGCTCAAAGAGGCTCGTCACTGGGAAAGACAGCTTCAATATGGCCTGATGAACTTTTGTTTTCATGATGATGATGATGATGATGATGATGAGGGAGGGTTGCTGCTGAACTGCCCAGTCCACCTGCTGTCAAACTTTCCGTCTTTCAGATGATTTTGTGTGTTTGACAGAAAGTTAATGAATTCGAATACCAATGTGCATTATTAATGCTAATGCAGCTGCATCACTTTAGTTTTTTTTTTTTTTTTTAGATTTGTATCATTTTTATTTTATGGTTTTGCTTGAAGGCCCTGCATTGTGTTGTTATTCTTTCTCTGATTATTGTCCCCAACAATTTGCTCCATCTTATATCCTAGTTCCTCATAAATCCGTTGATAGGCCTAAACCACAGGCAGGCCCCCTCAGAGACATTTTACAAAATTACTGTTCAACCCCAGCAGCTGTGCTC